AAAATTCAACTAGCATTATATAAAAAAAACTATGTATTATTAATTATTCAGAAGATATATCATTTATCAAAAAAATAAATTAATTCAGCTAGAATAATCTAATATGCAATAATTAAATAACTTTATAGATCTGATGAATTATTTATAAAACAAGCTAAAGATTGATATTATTACGTTATAATGAGACTTATTTTAGAAGAAATAGTATTTCATACTTGTTCCTATAAAAATATAAATAAGCTTTATTATTAGATAGAACAGATTTAATTTCTGTAATCAATAATTATATCAGTTTCGGTCATTGTAAATATTAAATTATTTTATTAATATAAATTTAAAAATTTAGAATTAAATATATTATTATAATAAAATATCATAATGATAATTTTATCTTGGGAAATTAATAAAGTATCAGTTATAGCTATATTAAATTCTGATGCTAATTGCAATATTATAGGTAAGAATATAGCAAAAATAGTAGACTTGAAAATTGATAATACTTCTAATACAAAAATATATAATTCTATTAGCAAGCTCAATATATTGGAAATAATTTATATAATAAAAATTTTGATTCTGTCTCAAAATCAGAAATAAGAGTAAATAGAAATTAGTAATATTTTTGTTATCAATAAATCTAAACTTGAATCTATACTGATATTGGATCAGTCATAATTCTAGAAAAATATAATAAAACTGAACTTCCTGAATAAAACTCTTATATTACTTAATAGAACTAGTTGTAAGATTAAGTATAATTAAGAATATTCAGAAAATACATAGTATATATACCTAAAATTAATTATCTGAATATTAGTTATTTTTTTCAATTAAAGATATATAATATATATTACTTGAGAATAACATAACTATTACAGAGCAATAACTTAAAGACTCTAAATATTTTTGATTTATCAAAATTATTAGAACAAATCTTATATTTTTTAGAAAATGATCAATTTCTCTATCTTACTTTATTTGTTAATCATCTTTGGCATTATTATAATGCTCTTATTCTATGACAACATATTGAGTTTTTTACAGAAAAAGATTATTAGAGAGATCTGTATAATTGAAAGATATCTCAAGCTCTTACTTGGTAACTGATAAATTTTAAAAAAAAATTATGTGTGAAAAAATAAAATCAACCTATTACATCAAGATAATATATTTCAGATTAAAAGATTTAAAAATCTCAGATATATTAATTAGTATAATTCTACACTTTTGTCCAGATATATGCATTCTTATTCTTGATTAAAGTGTTAGTTTTATTAATATATTAATTATAAAATTATAAGATTTTCTTCAAAATAAGTCTTAATTCATGTATATGTCTCACTAATTAATATATTACTAAAATTGCTCGCTCATACTCAATACTTAGATATATTGAGCTTGAAAACTATTTGATTAGTAATAAAACTATTAAGAAAATAGTCTGTAACTGTATTAATTTGAAATATCTCAGTTTATGAAGATGTAAAGAAATTAGTAAAGAAGTAATGAAAAAATTCAATTCAAAAATCAAAATGAAAAGTTTGATTTTAATCTACCTCTACACATTCTAATTTTTACTGATAGACAAAATGAAATAGCTTTAATCAGGTTCTTTAAAGACTACTCTTTGAGTCATATATCAGATGAAACAGATTTTATTTCTGCAATTATTAATTATCTCAGAGAGAATCCTCTAATGCAGATTATAAATAATTACATTTATTTATCGAGTTATTTTTTCAGTTATAATATACATCAATAAATAATATTTAATATGGTTTTCATAGAAATATTCATAGAAGGAAAAATTCTAGTTAAAGTATTAATAGATATCTTATCAAAGTTTAATACTATTAACAAGAACTTGTTCAATAGGCTTGAAATAGATCATGAAATAAGACCAACTTGTAATCTGGTTAAAAACCTCTATAAAGATGCAATAGATGTTTGGCAACAATACAACAATAAATCATACTAAAATCATGTGACACATTACACACCTCCCGTAATGAATTCAAAAAACGAACACGTTGCACTTTTTTATTTTATTATTCATTTTCTACATTGCATAATCAATCTCTTTATCTATAATATCAAATCAAAACTCTTATCACTCTAATCTAGATATCTTTAACACTTGACGTACTGTATTTTCAGAACGAAGTATTGACCCGTTGATTTCTTCTAATAATTCGTCCTGCTTAATTAATTCATCCTATGGAAACATTACCATCATATGACGATTTTGTGAAAATAAATTATGATCATAAAGAAACTGGATAAAACTTACATGGAATATAGACATCATTCTGAGAACTGATTTATATTGATGCCTTCCGCTAAAACTGAAGGGAATGACGGCGGTGGCAAGTTCACATGACAGGAAGCGCCCATCGGGGAGGATATTTAATGAATATAGTGTTAATCGAGAATCTGAAAAATGGGAACAGGTTATCATACATTGCAGTGGTTAACAAAACTAATAAAACATAGGTCTACTTACTAATTGATAGTGTACTGAACACCTTTATCCTTGTGGCAAGGTTGATATCACAATCAAGGTGTTCCCGCAATATTGCAATTAGATTTAGGATATCTGTTCGGAATGTTTTCTTTGAATCACCTAGAACGTGTTTATTGGGTGCATTATCGGGAGGACCTGCAACTTCTAAATGCCAAACGTCAAGCCCATCGGAGAGCCTTGTCGCCTTTGCATCCACTAATCAATATCCAAGGTTAGAAACGTTCTTTCATAAAATTTTAATAGTGCTGATACTTGGTAAACTATATGCTTTCGCTCGCCCATTTTTCTATCCAAAGTGGGACCAACATCTACAAGATTGTAACTAAAGGAAAAGCAATTGTTAACAGTTTCTTTGATGGACAAATAGATATTAATGTCTACTTACAAGTCAGTGAGAACTTTTTCACAATATAGGCGGAAACCTTCATCCATATCTTTATAATTCTTATTTCTAACTGCATTCTTAAACTTTTCATCAGATTCCTTGAGAGTCGTATTTATATACTCTTCTAACGCAGAATTCCACACAACGGGACTTCTATCACGCATAGAGGACAATTCTTTGGTGAGTTCTATGCCAATTTTTGTTTCCAATTCTTTGGCTGTTAACGCAAATGCACATATAACGGAATTTTTTTCAGTGTAACTGTTATATAGAAGACCAAAATAATGTTAGAATAATTTCTGTTTTCCAGGCAACACAACAAGCAGAAACTTACTCCCAAAGTTCTTCCTTCTCTATTGGACGTTTGTTTGGTGTATTTAATAAATGTGCTAATTCTCGAGGAGTTTGTGGTGGAGTTTTAGGTGGTAAAGTATCTGTAGCGTCTGAAGGTTGTAAAGCGTCTGAAGATAGCAAAGCATCCAAGGGTTGTAATCGTGCTTGAATGATCTCTGTTTTCGAGTTAAGTAATAGCGTATTCTGAAAGGTGATAATGAAACATAAACATCCATTCGACACGTGCACATAACTGCAAATCAAGTATCAACCTACCTCGACTGTGTTGTTGAGAACGGTTGAGTGTCTTTGATATTTGGTAGCATCGAAATATTTTCGGCATTCTTGGACAATCGTAATTCCTGCACGAGACTGTGATGATTGAGTTTTATTTCTATGTTATTATTAAACAAAAACTAACTGCCTACCTTTAACCACTCTAAGTAATTATGGCAGAATGATTTTATCGGATTGGGCGTGGCTGTGAGCTGGTTTAATTGATCTAAGCTTTCTCTAAATAGTGTGACCGCCTGTTCGAAGTTAATCTCGGAATCAACAGCGTATTCAATGAAATTTTGAAGGCACCATGAAGATGCTTTCTCGATTGTGAAATAAACGTGAAGGCTTCGTGTATTCGGACTGGCCCGAAATTTGAAATACGTGGTTGAAAGAAGACGAGGTTCACGTACTACAATGCAGTTTTTTTCATGGACCGTTTTAGGCACAGTGAGTCAATTTACTCTAACAGAAAAAATCGCGATAATAAGTCGCGTCGATCACGTGGTCAATTGATGTACTTAATTAAATCAGCGACGTTCCCTATTTGCGTTACTGAAATTTTTTTGGTCATGTCTTTCGGTGTCGAAGTAGAAGTTAAAGACAAGACTTTACCCACACGTCCATGCCGGTCATCAGACGGTGGACGATGCTGGAAGTGCGAAGGGGGAACTATCATCCTGTCATCAGACGGTGACTCCCACAACGCAATCCTGTCTGCTGGTCTAACCATCAGGTGATCAGCAAACAGAAGTGCAAGCAGGAAGATCTCACTTTGCCATCAGGCGGTGAACTTTCTACTTGTAAAGGTAGGCCACCAAATTCCGTGCGGTCATCAGACGACGAGTTGGTGGAGACTGGTGATGGCTGATGTAATCTAACCTGGCCAGAACCGGCTTAACTTTGCTGTATTTTTTTTTCTTATGTAAAATACAAAAATTTATCTTTATTTTTATCTTTTTTTCTCAGTTACGAAGAAAACGTAAGTGAAAAGAAGCAAAGAAGGTTAATCATAATAACAATCAGAGTTATCCTGAAATTTAAATCATGACTTTATTAATATCTGTAAAATTATTTTTACGTTAAATTACAATGTAAAAGGCCGGCCTGTAAATTATTCGTGGAGTAGCAGACGTTTAAAGGGAGGAAGCATCTCGAGCCCTAACCCATAAAATGAGAGTTCCTTTCCCTACTCCGTATTACTAGCTAAGTTATTATCATTATTTTCATCACTATAATCTAAAATTATATTACTACTACCGCTAATAACAACCGAATTATCTTTTTTTCCGATTTTCTTCTTCGATCCAAGCCTCGATTTTGTTTGACGAAGTTTTTAATGGAGTTTTCTGATGACGGTAAAAACTATCTTCGGGGTATTCTGATTTGTGGCTTCTTGCAGATTCTTGTCCTTTAATTACTGAAGCTAGTACGTTAGTGCTAAAACACATTAATATAACCACGTTGTTATAGCGAATCGATAATTAAAATACCTTGAGACCGAATCCCGCTTTTCCATTCCGTTTCAGTTCGCATTCTATTAATTTCATTGTTAAGCACCAAAATTGCTTTTTTACAGATGATCACTCGGGATTTGAGGCGACATTATATTTTTGCGTAGATATATGAATGTTACAACGAGGATTATATATATTATTACGTTTCCGGGGATAATTGTGTGGAGTATCTCCATATTCAAGATACCCCGATTAAATAAATCATTACAGTGGTGAAAATAACAAGCAAAAAAATGTCGCATGTTGTAGTAAATAAATTGATTGTTCGGTTAATTATTTGATTGCTATATCGCGTGACGATAATTGTTTTGATGTTTTGTTAAGCACGAACCTGCGAATTTAACCTTAGACAACGCACTTTTTTATATCGGTAGCTTGTAAAGGCGATCAGCGGAGCTGGCACGGCCAATATATCTTAATTTCACAAAACAAAGATGAATTAGCTTAGTTTCTTGCGCATGCCCTTTCTTAACACGAATTATATCTGGTTTATTCTATGTGACCATGGTATTGGTTCTTTAGATTTCGTTCTAAGTAACTAACTCGTCGCTTCATTATGAATTCGCACGCAAAACAACATTCGTGTTGGGGGAATGCTTCAATAGATGAATTAGCTATATTACACAACCCGTATTAAATGAATTAAGGGTCGGGATGTAGCTCGCCCATTAGTTGTTTTTTGTATGCGGAAGATGATCAATATACTGGTAATGGAACAGATTGACATTTCCGGATCTGGGTTAATAAAAATATTCAATAAATTACAAAGCACCCACGGTCATCCTCGTACTAACGAATTCTCCGCCTTTTCTCTGTCATATTTAACTTTTCCCACTGCTCCGCTTCTTTTAGAAGCCAAACGATTCGACCCAATATTCTACCTGTCCCCTTTTCCAAGCCCTCCGACTCCTCGGTCCAATCCAAAACGGCTGGCGTTTCCGAATGCACGCTGATTTTTGGTTTATCGCCATCCATAATAAACTCGACAAAGTACCATGCTCGGCCATCGGTAACGATTCCGTATGCCTTATCGGCAAAATCACT